GAAAGTATTGTTGAATAACCTAATCACAAGAAAAAAAGAAGCAATGAAAGTCATGAAACTTTTGGGGCTAATGCGCAGTATCGCACTCTTGGTGAATTACGACCTGAGCTACAATTTGACCCAATTTGCAATTTGCGAGGAAGAGGGCAAACAAGAACAACATTTTCTCCTTCAGCAATGTCAAGTGGTGGGATGATTGGACAGGGATGAAACTTGCATTACCTTCTTGTTCAAATAAGAGCTGTTGTTCGGTAGATGCTTATATTTCTATGCCTTTGGTCACCTTTTTGCTCGCTATCTGACAATGCCTTTGAAGCACTCCTTGCATTTTTACAGGCAGTTTTTGATTCCTAGGGAACCATTTTTCCAATAGTGGAAAGGTTTGCTATGTCACTACCAAAGTCACTTCATTTGCTTTGCAAACAACTTGGACTTGATCAAGATAAGTTCAAAAACTATGTTGTGTGCCTCAAGACAATGAAGAAGCGATCGAGCCTGATAACAAACAAGACTGTGCATTTCTCAATGAGATAGACGAACAAGATGAGTCGTTTAATAGAAGATTCAACATAGAATTGGATAGAGAGACAAAGCAAGAAGAAAGGCATAAGCCAGTGTCTGAAGATACCTTGTTCGGAGAGGCACAAAAGAGTAACAAAAAAGTTTTTCAGACTTCACCCAAAACCATGATGCTCCCCTTATGATCCTGTAGAATGATTGTCATTGTATAGGATCCTAAAGTACAGTTATATATCCTCTCTACATAGTAGATACCTATATGTGAATAACGCAAAGAATAGTGTTTTATGAGGGTTTTATTTGAAATAAACAGTTAACATCTTCTCCACATTATGGATACCGATAATGTCAATAAATTAAAAGAGTATCATATTTTTATATGCTATAATGACCGTAATCATAACTTTTTATACTATTTTCATGAATGTAGCATTTGTCATCAAAGCAGCTGAGATTTTATTGATTTCATAACTACCTAACTCATACTCTTCATGTTTGACGTTCTTTTTTTATAACATATTTCTTTATTGCTTCTGCTGTTTTACGACCTTTATTATTGTCTTTTATGTAGGAACACATTTTTCACCTTAAGCCAATAAATTCTACTAGAGGAATCACACAACCTTCATCTTCAAACTTACCAATAACTTTCTTGTTTGTTTTGTCAAGATGTGGTGAGTTTTCAGGATATTCACCATTATCAAATTTATCTTTATTTTTCCAAAAGTATTGATACACATCTTCAGCTTCATTTCATACGTTAAACTATCTGTGTCCGTGAATAATAATTTAGCTTTGTTACCATACTTCTGTTTAATGATGAGATGAAAATCATACATTAAAAAAAATCAACTATTAAACAACCCTGAAAAGACTAAGTTCCTTACGGTCAGGACACAACAACTACCACGCAGACTTCCTAACGAAATCTCAATCTCTTTCTTGGGGAAAGAGATCACACCTGTCTCCAGTGCCAAGGATCTCAGAATAATTCTAGATAACAACTTAACCTATGACCAACACATCCATCAACTTACTTCATTGTGCATGACCAAACTTTGTCAAATAAACAGGGTAAAGAACAGTTTTGATAGGGACACTCTACGCACGATCATCTCTGCTCTAGTCCTAAGCAAATTGTTCTATTGCTCTACAGTTTGGTCAAACACAACTGCCACAAACATCAAGAACCTTCAAGCTGTTCAGAATTTCGTGTGCAGAATCATCACAAAAACCAAGAAATTTGAGCACATAACACCTGCGTTATGCAAGATCAAATGGTTACCGGTAAATGAGCATCTCCACTACAGAGACACTGTAATGACGTTTAGGTGCATACTTGTGTGTGTCTCTGTGAAGACGCAAGTCTATTCACCACTACAAACAGAGAATCCCTTGATATTCCTCCAAGTAAGACAAAGTCAGGCCAGCGTCGTTTCCTCCATAGAGCAGTCAACATTTGGAACAATTTAGACAAAGACTTTAAACAGTTATCTTTAACATCATTTTAAAACAGGTGAAAACGCACATGCTAGAGAATTATTTTAATGACTGCTTTTTATAATTTTATTCATTTTTTATTATAATGGGGTTTTGCTGTTTGGTATTGAAAAGCCTCCTCGGGAATACTAATAAAGTATGTGTGTATGTATGTATGTACATTAGTGTCTTAGAAAGATTAAGAATGCACATTCCTACATATGCCAGACTATTAAGAGTTAGTGTTTCTTTAATCTTATGCACAGCCACTAGATTTTTGCTGAATATTTTTGATGATACAAAAGTTGGTTTTGAAGGGCAATTTTCCACTGGCTGAGTGTAACAAATTAAGTGGAAAATGTTTTTCTCACACACCGCTGAGAGCCTGGGTATAGGTCATGTGACTGAAGACGGGCAGTTGCTTTTGTTGCGTCCGCCATTACTGAACTTTTTTGTTTTTGTCCGTCTTGTAATTGCTGGTAATCGCTATTTATATGCGTATTTATCATTCCCAAAGTTTCTAACAGTTCTGGAACTTATTCACGAGCTGCTCAGCACTTGGAGCTGTACAATAAGAGCCCTGTTTCTGGTGAACGATCGCGTAGTTGATCGAGGCATGGAAGTCATGAGTCTACACGCGAACGCGATCGGGCTTCCACAGCAGCCCCAGCAGAAGATGTACCCCCAAGCTGGGCGCGGGATATGTTTGAACAGTAAAAAAAGTATGCTAAGGAATTCAAGTTCGAAGGCAACAAGAAGCAATACAAGGTGAACCAGAATGTTTTGGAAAAAATCAGCGAAGCGAGGAACACAAGCGATCATGGGGAAAGAGGCAACCTGCTTTTAGAAGGTGAAAAATTGCTCTTAGGACCTAACAAACATATCTGCTTAGCAGGTAAGTATGGATGGGATACTGTTGAGTGTTACACGGCAGAGCCACTTGCAACCAACTCCAGTGACGAGAAGCACATCAAAAAAGCGATCAAAGAGAGCAAGCAGTTGCGGGAAGAGAAACGGAAGACGTTGACGGCAAAGTGGAAGACGAAAAAGTTGCCCCAGCAAGACGAAAGACCAAGGCGTGTTGTTCTAGAAAAATCGAGTGGTTCTTTTTCGGTGGGAAAGCTGTCCAACTATCCGTCACGTGACTCGCAGCAAACTTGTTTTCGCATGAGTGCCGAGCTTCAGTTACAGGCGAAGGAACTGAATGGGCCCGAAACAGTACACCATCCTCAGGAAGCCAACAATAGTGAATCCATTCATACCGTTCATGACAATGTTGTTTATTTCTCTGGTGAATTTCATTGTGTTGAGTTCGAATATGCTGTTCATGTTAATAAAGTTGAGTTGGCCCGCACTACCAATGTGAAAGGGAAGCTGAAGGAGAGAATTGCAGTCTGGCAAAGCATTGGAGCTAGCAGGTGGGTGCTTGAAGTGCTTGAGGATGGTTATTGTTTACCTTTTATTTCGCTGCCACAGAAAGCGTTCTTTAGGAATCATTATAGTGTTGTTGAAGATGAAGATTGTTTGTCAAGAGGTGTCCAAGTTACTTAGCTTTGGTACTATAGCTGAAGTAGAAAGGGATGATCTAATGGTGTGCAACCCTTTAGGTGTTGTAAGGAACTCTGCACACAAGCCTCAACTGATTGTGGACTTGCATTACGTAAACAAACACTTGCGGTCATGTAAGTTCAAGCATGAGGACATTCGAACTGCTGAAGATTTGTTTTTGAAGGGTGACTGGTTCTTCAAATTTGATTATAAAAGTGGCTACCACCACATAGAGATTTTTCCGCAACATTGCCGATTCCTTGGTTTTTCTTTATTCTACAAGGATCAGCTAGATATTTTCATTTTAAAGTCCTTCCTTTTGGCTTGTCCACGGGTCCTGATCTCTTTACTAAGATTCAAAGAGCACTTATCAAACACTGGATAAGTAAAGGCTTCAGAATATTTACATACTTGGATGATGGTGCAGGTGCAGATCAAGTACTGGATAAGGCTATGAAAATGTCAGAAATTGTACGTAAGGACATTGTTTTAAGTGGGTTAATCGCCAACAAGGAGAAAAGCCAGTGGGTTTGCTTTTGTTGCAGCGGTCGGCTTGGCATGGCTACCAGTGGTGTTTGAGAAGCTAATTTTAATAGTCTCCCTTTCACAGGGAATATTGGACAATTCCCAACTTGGGTCAAACTTGGTTCTAACTTGGGAAATAATAATTCCCAACTTTTAAAGTTGGGTTTTTCTTGGGGCAAAGTTGGGTTTTACTTTGAGAGTTAAATGGACCACTTGTAATTCCCAATGTGTGTTTCCCAAAGTAGACCCAAAATCAGGTTCTTCTGCTTACTACATTGGGGATAACTTGGGTTTATATCGATTTATTCACACCTTCTTTGGGACTATCTGGTGCAGAAACATTATTTTTGGGTCAAAATTGGGACATGCTCACCACAATAATAACTGTTTTGGGGTGTACTTGGTTATTATTGGGTCAAAGTTGGGTTTTACTTGTAGAGTAGATTACACCACTTGAAAATCCTAGTGCATGTTTCCCAAAGTAGTCCCAAAGTCAGCTTTTTCATCTGATAACATTGGGAATAAGTTGGGTTTATAAAAAGTAAAGGCAAACATACTTGGGTCTATCTCGTGCAAAAACACTTTTCATGGGTCAATATTGGGACGTCATGACCCCAATAATAATTGCTTTGGAGAACACTTGGTTGTTCTTAGGTCAAAGTTGGGTTTTCCTGTTAGCTGTTAGTTGCTAACCCCAACAATACCTATTTTGGGGTGTACTTGGTTATTCTTAGGTCAAAGTCAGGTTTTACCTTTAGAGTAGATTACATCACTTGAAAATCCCAATGCATATTTCCCAAAGTAGTCCCAAAGTCAGGTTTTTCAGCTTATAACATTGGGAATAAGTTGAGTTTATAAAAAGTGAAGGCAAACCTACATGGGCCTATCTCGAGCAAACACATCTTTTGTGGGTCAAAATTGGGACGTGCTCACCCCAACAATAACTGTTTTGGGGTGTACTTGGTTATTCTTGGGTCAAAGTCGGATTTTACATTTAGAGTAGATTACACCACTTCAAAATCAAAATGCACGTTTCCCAAAGTAGTCCCAAACTCAGCGTTTTTAGCTGATAACATTGGGAATAAGTTGGGTTTATAAAAATTAAGGCACACCTACTTTGGGACTATCTCATGCAAACACATTTTTCATGGGTCAATATTAGGACGTCATGACCCCAATAATAATTGCTTTGGAGAACACTTGGTTGTTCTTAGGTCAAAGTTGGGTTTTCCTGTTAGTGTAGATTACACCACTTGTAATTCCTAAGGCATGTTTCACAAAGTATTCCCTAAATCAGCTTCTTCAGCTGATAACATTGGGAATAACTTGGGTATATAAAAATTAAGGCAGATCTTCTTTATTTGGGATTATATCTCATGCAATCACATTTGTTACGGGTCGAAATTGGTACGTGCTCACCCCAACAATAATAATAAATTACAACTTATATATGCATGTTTCATTTTATTTCGTTCCCTAATATTTAACTGTACAGTGTTACCTCTGGAGATAACAAAAACAAATAAGTAAGAAACGAAATAAACTTGAAAATTTGGATAGTATGTTCTCAGTTTGTTTTTACAGGGAAGGTGGTAACCTGCCATGCAGACATTCATAGGACTTTGTCACACTTTCCTTCCCAAAGATGCTCTGTTTAGCAGAGGTTCCTGAGGAAGGAATGCATGACAAAGTCCCAAGAAAGTCTGTTGGAGACTACCCAAATGATTGTATTGCGTAACTTCGCTTCGCCCCCGCCATTTTGGTTCTTTCGACTGATAGAGACTGGGACCGAGCTTTTGACCAATCGGAAACCTGCTCGCCTCGTGATCAAGGCGTCCTTCTTTCTGGCGCGTAGAGTGAAGTGCTCATAATGGCGGAGGGATCGAGTTCGCTCTTGGAGGAGGAGTATAAACCTTTAGATACACCTTTGGATACTTGGAATGTTGAAGAAGTGAAATGTTTTATTACTCATCATTTCTCAAACGAAGTAGCGAGCAAATTTGAAGGTAAGGTATTATATTTCGAAGTTGCCTTGAGTGTTCGGTAAAAAACAAGTTTTCCCGCCCTTCGCTTGGCTTTGTGGAAAGTTTGGGGACTCCAAACGAAGCAACAGCGAATAAAACAACCAGAAACGTTGTCGTTGTTCAGTATTTTTGCATTTGATTGTTTTCTTCGAGTTTATTTTGATCTTCGTGATTTGCAATATTCTTCATTTCTCGATGCTTACCTCGTTTGGTTTCCCTTCATTTTACTTACAGCTGAAGATATTGATTAAGACAGTTGTATTCAACTTCTGCGCAAGTCGGACGACGACAGAACGTTTGAAAAGTTAGGTCTGTTGACTTTCAGTAAAGTCTGCAAATTTAGGAAGGTCACAGAGTCACTTATGCCTCGTCACTCAAGATCATGGACTCCCTCTTCACAGTTAAGCTTATCTTCAATCTCTTCCCCTAAGCCCAAGCTGAGTGAAATTAGCAATTTCTCAAAAGACATACAACTCCTGTACAAGGCAAAGTGAGTAAACATTCTTTGCTTAATGATATGTTCATGTAGAAATCAATGTATCGTTAATAACGTCACCTAAATTGTCCTGTATTGTTTTCCTTCGAATCTAAGGCTTCAGTTTTTTGACATAGATTGAAAAAACATTCTTAGTTAGATACTTTGACTCTTTTGTTTAGATCTTACTCAAAGTGCCCGAAGCTGCCCTTGGCAATTCGCCCATACATCTGCAAATGCACAAAACGTAAGATCCACAACTTGTGGCATGTGAATTTACATTTCGTTCTCGACCGTCCAAGCTTCTGAAATGAATACAACTTAAAGGTGTTTGAACTGCAAGGGTTCATCTTCATTAAGAAGAAACACAAGTTGTCAAAATGTTATTTATTTCTGTTGTTTTGACAGGCGGGGACGCATTCAGAGGGCAGCAGTTCAAATGTGGCCAGGGAACGATTTTCCCAACTTTCGCCTTGCTGAAGAGAAGGCCAAACTAGATCAACTTGCGGCTTCTCTTGAAGAGGAATGCTCAATCCCAGAGATAAGCTTTGGCTTTGAAGGAATAAAAAAACACATACAAAGTGTGTTCAATGAGAGGAGACGTTCTCGCAAAAGAGAAAGGATTCATTATGATTTGGTAGGTAGCTACATAAAATATACCATTCTCCTGAAGGCAATTTTATGTCATACATGTTTACATGCAGTACGTATTAGAACTTTGTAAACACAGTTGTGGTGTCCCAGTTACTGGTAGTACTGATCCTAGGTATTTTTTTTAAGGCAATAAAACTTTTTTTCCCTTTGTTTACATGTACTGATAAAATAAACACCCAAGAGTTTTGAGGGAATTCTCAAGTTATTTAAAGCAAAACTTGGTATCGTTATTTCATTTTCTTCTTAGTCCGTCAGTTGGAACATACAACTTTTTAAGAAGTGGCTTATTAATTTTTTTAAAAAATTGTGTCTGGTAAATACATTTTGTGTGTCTTTAATTTAGTTAGAGAATTTGATTTCATGCATTTCAAATATCAGTTCTGAACTGATATTTCCGATATTTTTCAGCCTGACAAAAGAATGTCAATCAAAGGGAAGGACAATGGAAAACCTCCACTGCCAACAATGTCAGAGTATGATGACATTAAAGAGGTCAACAAAAAAGATGAAGACAAAGATCAAATTAGTAATTATGGCAGTAGTGGAGAAGGTGGTGGAGACACAGAAATTTTGGATTCTTCTCCCAGTAAAAACTCTGATGGATCTGATCATGAATCAGAGCCAGTGCTCAAAAAAGCAAAGAAAACAAAGCCAAAAAAAAAACAAAGCAAAAATGATTTCAATCAGCTACTAAAGAAAGCTACAATACTTGCAAAGAAAAACGTTGATGAAACTGAAACAAAAGAAGCACAGAGTCAGTCCAGTATTTTGAATCCTGATCAAGAAGTATCAGCCATTAACTTGAGTAGTAAAAGTGCTAAAGTATTGTTAATGTCCTATTCTGGTCAATCAGCTGTAGAAAGTATAAGCAGAGAATATTTGTGTCAAATAATTAAAGAACTTGGGGGTAAAGTGTCTTTAGCCAGACAACTGCAAGGAGATGCCCTTTTTAAAGCAGTTGCAGTTAAACTTGTTAATCATGGTCGTGTCAAGATAAAGCGTGAAGCAAACTTGTCAAATCTTAAGCGTTCTGATATCATCCACAAATAAGCAGATGTTTGGGAAATTACAATGAGTTTTGATTGTTTTTTCTTCTGGTGGGATGTTTTAATAACATGCATGAGGGTCAAACAATAGACATGGATGTCTTTCACTGGGTTTAATATGTTAGTGTTGTTGTGTTTGGACTTTCCCTTCAGATTATACATAAATTACCATAAATCACAATACTGCAAGTGTTTTTCCAAAATGCAAATTTTATTTCGCTCTGCACCTATAGAACATCGTGAAAGCTGTAGCATACAGGTCCTTTAATTTCTTATTTCAGTCCTCTTTTAGAAAAAAGGTATAAATTTATTATTGTACCTGTTATAAATTTATTGTTTGTAATAATAAATAAATGATATGTTTGAATTGAAGATATTAGGACAAATAGTTTTGTCAGTAGTATTAGAAAATTAATTAAAGTAACAAGCTGCAGGCAATTATGGTTATTGAAATTCAATGGATGTAGCTTAAATAATTATGCTTACCTCCTTGCAGGCTTTTTAAATAAATTGTTTCTGTTCCCTGCCAAGAAACTGATGACTTTATTGATTTTGAAAAACCTGTCTTTTGAGGGGTACTTGAACAGTGCTTGGAACAAAGATTGGATCAGTTTGACCCAATTATGGGACTATATGAGGCTAAATGGACCTTGTTAATTTTCCTAATTCTGACCCTATTTGGGACCTCTTGGATATGACTTTGGGACAAACCTGGGTTCAGATAGACCCTACTTTGGGACTAAATGAGGTTTAACTTGGGGTAAATATATCCCAAATTAGACCCTATCTTTGGGTCAAATATTTAATTAATTCCAAACTAGACCCAATTTAGGGATTATATCTACCCAACTGTGGGACTAAATGAGGCTAAACGGACCTTGTTAATTTTCCCAATTCTGACCCCATTTGGGACCACTTGGATTTGACTTTGGGACAAACCTGGGTTCAGATAATCCCCACTATGGGATTAAATGGGGTTTAACTTGGGGTAAATATGTCCCAAATTAGACCCTATATTTGGGTCCAATATGGGTCTATATTGAGGACTTAACAATGCCCTATTTTAACGCAGGTTGGGAATAACTTGGGAGTTGTTCCCATTTCCCAACTTGAGGTATTACTTTGGGAAATGAATAGTTCCCAAGTTTAATTCCAAACTAGACCCAAGTTTGGCCCAAGTTAGAACCAATATAAACCCAATTTTAAAACATTGGGAATTCTCTTATTTTTCCTGTGTTTACTAGCTACAAGTTTAAAGGGCATGTAAACCCCAAAATGCAACAATTTTGTTTGATATGAGTAGAATGTATACCCAAATTACTTCATAAATCTTTTATCTTATTTTTGATACAAGTGCATTTTGACCCGAGAAATCACCTCTGAAAGTTCACTTCGTCCGCCATTTTGATTCCGCCATCTTTGTTGTGACATCACGAGTGGAATCTCTGCCCACCGGAAGTCAAAAACACCTTTGGGACCTTTACAAGCACGTGTGTTGTCTAGTTTCCTACAAGAATATTTTTTAGTTTTGACATTGGCAAAGTGGTGTGTCGTTGGATCTTGTAATAACTCGAACAAAACAGGGCATTCTACTCATTTTTTTCCAAAAGAAGAAAGAATTTGGCGCCAGTGGATTAAATTTGTCCAATTTAAACGTGCAGACTTCTTACAGCCTACAGAACACTCCATAATCTGTGGCGCTCATTTTGCACACAAATGTTTCGAGGATGATGGGATGGTAAAAATGAGACTCAAAGATAAAAGAAGCAATTTGAAAAGCGATTCGGTCCTCACAATTCAGCCCCAGCGACCCAATTAGCGGACTATGGAGAGCGTAGAGAAAAGAAATACCGGCGACTGCGAGTCAGACTCCTGGCAAAAGGTCACGAACAAGTAGAGCTGTGCACAAGTTATCAGTTTCTAGGGTAAGTAAGCCAATGTAATAATTAATAAGGATTTTTTTCATTAGGTCAGTATTAACCGTTCCCCCTTCCTCAAGTATATTCAACTTTTTTTCACAGTTATTGGACGATAATAAACTGCCTCCGTCGCTGCGAACGCGGTCACGTCAGCTTCTGAGTCTACGCCTGTCGACACTGAAACAAGTGCTTGCTCTGAAGATGAGACATCTCCCAGGTTTAAAGAGGTAGTAGTTCAATGTGATATTCTGCATGAAACATCTATAGGTAAAGGTAGATTACGCTTAGACATAATCTCACCTCGTTTTTTCTTTTCCCCTAACCGATTATCTAATGTAGAATCTCTATCCAGCAGGCACACAATTAGAACCCTTAAGAGAAGATTTTCAAGTGCAGTGCGACCTTATTACAGCTCCTTTAAACATTAGTACACCAGAATGCAGCTCTGTTAAAAGTCTAGGAGGACACAGCGTGGACGATGACAAAGATTTTGATTATGTTCCACCGACTGATTTGTCTCTTGAGGAAGCCGAGGACGACATAAGAATATGAGGGGACTATGTCAAAGTAACGTACCGCCGTACACTTGTTATATTTTTTAAAAGATACCGCACTTTGTTTGTTCGCTTTTTTTTCTCATTTTTTGCTGATGGTTTTCACTTCTTATTCATTAAAATATAGGATAATTATTGCAGGTTTGGTCGCTTTAAACCAGTGTAGGACCTGCCAAAATCCGCAGGAAATCTTTGGCGTATTTTGTTTACTGCACAGGAAGGGAGCTCCACTCTTACTTTTCTGCAAAGGTAACCCCAACACCATCGCACAAGTTGGCGATAAGCGATGTAGCAAAATTTTCTAGACACGAATGAGTGGAAAAATGTTGGAATAAATATATGACCACGAATATGCAGTCATATATAAACTGTTCATAATTTTTTTATGCATATAGTGAAAATTTCAGAACTAGTAAACATACTTGTGCCCTCTATGACTGTCTGTGCCATGTTGTTACCTATATGCATAATATGCCATTTCAACGACCCACACATCCAAGCAAGTAGACTGAAATCCTGGATGTTCTGTTATACAGGACATTTGGACCTCCATTTGCTCTTCAATTTTTTGCCATACTTGCCCTATTTGATGACAACATACGCTTTCGGGTACTGAAGGCATCGGCTGACACATCTCACACTTGCACCTAAATTACAATTAAAAAAAGTAAGGACCCCTTTCATAATGGCTTGAGTTCATCCTAGCCTCATGATAAAATTACTCCAAAATAAAGGCCAATTAGGTATAAGCAATACAATTTAAGTCACAAGACGATCCGTTTCACTTTCGGTTTCGTCCTTATAATACGGCTTTGTTGTTGTTGTTGTCCATCATCTCATTGAACTCTGCGAGGCTCGTAACGACAGGGACGCGCACCTATGTCTTCAGAAGGCTCTGAAGTTTCAGCTACATCGCTGTCATATAAATTTACGTCATAAAAATCACTTTCGTCCGATGAATTCTGCTCTGAACTATCCGAACTCTCACTTATCGCTTGAGCCACCATAGTAATAATCAAGTTGCGCAATACACTGGTTCCACTCGCTACGTCACAGGTAATTTCATATTGTTAACCGGAAGTTAATCTGCCGTAGAAAACGCTGTGTTTTCACCTTAGGAGCATCGAATTGGCAAAAAATAATAGCAAAATCGTTTTTAGAATACTTTTTTACATATAAGGGGATAAACTTGTATTTTGGGGTTTACATGCCCTTTAACATGCACTCTTTTACAAATATTTTCTATAGTTTTACCAAATACACTGTTATTCATTAGTTTGAAGAGGTCTTTTTCCTTTTGTACTAAGAAAAGGCAGGGGAAGAGCTATGAAGTAAATTCAAAAGCCAACGAACTTCATCTGCAGCAGGAAAAGTTACTTGTGGCAATTCAAGTGATATTACACGGCAAAGGAGAGGTTACTCATCACGTAATGGCTGTGTTACTGCAATATCTAAGGATAGATGAAAAGAGCTTCATGAAGAAATCCTTAGTCTAGGAGACAGCTGAGCATGCTAAGTGTAAAGCAAAGTTCTGGGGACCACCAGTCTTAGAGCCAGAGGGGGGGGAGCATATATTTTAGAGGTCTGTTGAAAAATACAACCTAACGTGCCCTGAGTTTTATGGTGACAGTGACTGTAAGAATTTCACAAGGGTGAAAGAAGTTTATTGAAATGGAAAGAAGGAATGCATTGGTCACGTCCAGAAGAGAGTGGAAAGTGCACTTTGTAAACAAATTTCATTTCATACACATTTATTTAGTGTATTTTCCACAAAATAGTCACTCGTGTACTGTGGTAGAAACACCTCATTTCAAGTACACTATTTCCTGTGTAGATCATTTTCAATTTGGAAAATGCAATTAACCACTAGCCTACTGAAGCAAACAGTCCAGAACTCAGAAGTGTTGTATGATTAAAAGCACTGCATGAGAACATAGAGAGAGGATTTTTCAATGAATTCTGCCACTCTCTCACTAAATAAAGTCACCAATGAAATACTTAGATATTTACTTGCAAGACTGATTCTATTG